CGATTCGAGGCCAGTGCTCTCCTCTGAGCCACAATCCCAGCCCTAATGTTATCACATGTAACAGTTTCAAAATGTCAAAGGAAAGGACTTTTTGTTCAGCCATTTCATATAGAAGGAGAACACTTGAAAATCCTCCCTCTTCAGATCATGGCAACTTTAATCTATCCCATAAGCATAGCCACTAAAGTCTATTATTAGAAGAAAATGTGGTAGTCATATGGGAAAAAACATCACTGGCTCKAGTTCAATTGTTACTTGGTTGTTAAAACACAACTTTTTCAAACCAAAATTTAATTATTAATTAAAACACTATTTATAACTACTGTGTCAAATAAAAAAATTCCTGAGAATGCAAACAATCTTACTTGCAAGCAAGTCGATAGCCACTAATAACTGATGTGGGATGAATTTTCTGTTTGACTAATTCATCTGCATTTTTCAGAAGTTCTGCTGCAATAATAACCTGTTGAGAAAACAGTCATGTGCTAAGATGTCTGGCACTGGATATATCATGCACCCACAAAAGCAACACTAAAGTTGTCAGGTATTATTAACCAGAATGGTGATGGAGAAATGAATAAGTGGCTATTAAAAATATGAAAAAAGGAAAACACTACAAAATATTCTGTATGTCAATGGCCAAACCTAACAGATGAAAGTCAGAAAAATGTTCTAAGAAACTAGTTCAGCAGTAAAACAGAAGACAACAAATACATCTATTACCTTTAGAGATTAAATGCCCAATGGAAGCTAAATTGCTGTTGAAATGACTTGGACTGTTTTAGACTTTTGGGTTAACTCTTTTTAAGGAATGCTAAAAATGTCTTTTAATTAGACTTTTAGAGCTAAGGATATAGTTTGGAGGCAGACTGCTTGCTACATCCAATCATTATGACTGTCTTTTGCATGTAAAATAAATAAATAGTATTAAAAAAATATATATCATCCTCTCCTTTATTTTTCCCTCCTCCTTTTGGTGGAGTTTGAACCCAGGAGCATTTAACCACTGAGCCACATCCCTAGCCCTATTCCCCCTTTTTTGGGTACAGGGATACTGGGGACTGAACCCAGGGGCACTCAACAACTGAGCCACATCTCAACCCTTTTTTGTATTTTATTTAGAGACAGGGTCTGGCTAAATTGCCAGACTGGCTTTGAATTTGTGAACTCCCAGTCTCAACCTTGCAAGCTGCTGTGATTACAGGTATAGACCACCAGCTGGGTCACGGGGTTCTTTAGATAATTACAATAGCAAAGATTTTAGACATTTCCAAGCCTCAGGTGATGGTGGGTAAGAGAAAATACATTTCAGAAGCCATATTAAAAAAAAGAAAAACCCTTATGTATTAATACTAAGAGAAAAAAAGTCCCCCAAACGTGTGAAATCCAATATTTAAAATGACACTGAATTTAATTAGTYTGAGTTTCTTTTCTATTTATATTGCTCAAACTAGCTATAATTATCAAGTTTTGTTTCTGAAGCACTGCTTGAGAAACATACCGGTTTCCTTTTAAAATATGTAACTTATTTCTGGCCCACAGCTTCAAATGGGATAAAAATACTTATTCTTTAGCCCCTCTCCCAGGCGACTACCTACCACTGAGGTAGTTCCATCTCCAACTTCTCTGTCCTGCAGATCAGCCAGCTCACAAAGAACTTTAGCAGCAGGATGTTCTACCTCCAGTAACTTCAGGATGGTAGCACCATCGTTTGTAATGGTTACATCCTACAGAAATTTCCAGGAAAAGTGAGATAAATTCAGATATCCTTATTATGACACATTCATCTTTGATATACTTTCCAATATCAGGTTCTGAAGAAAACAACTTGGAGAAAAAAAAAAAACTTCAGATCTTTTCTTTTTAGAGCAATCAACACAACAGATATACTTACACCAATATCATCCACCAACATCTTATCCAAGCCAACTGGACCAAGAGAACTCTTAACGATATTGGCAATAGAAGCTGCAGCCATAACTGTAGACAGTTAATGAAAAAAGTACAGTAAAATCAGAAATGCACAGCTCTAAAGGACAGTCATCTCACCCACAGAAGCAAAATAACATCTCACAACCTCCAAACTGCTCGGATCTACAAACGCGCCCCAAGGAAGCCTAAGGAAGGCGACGGGCAAATTTCGTCCTGAGCGTAGGAGGGACGCCCCGTTTTTAAGGGTTCGCTGCCCGGCTGGGTGATCAGGCCCCGAGCGCCAGAGCCTTCCGTTATTCTAYGGCAGTCGCCGAGGGTCGGGGCCAYTTCCGYGGGAACACGTCGCCCCTAACTACGCGGGCACCCGCCCGCCTGCAGTTCCGACTGGGCCTGGTCGTTGGTGGACGATCCCCGACGGACAAAAGGGGCAGCGGGCGGCGGGCACGTGTCTCCGCACCGCTCCCGCGAGTTGGGAACGCCGGCGGCGCCCTTGGCGTCCTCCCCGACGGCGAGGCCCCGCACGGCGAGAACAGCCCGGGTCGCACCGGGCCGCGCCCTCGGGAGCCCCTTGCGCCGAGGGAGACGCGAGGGCAGGGAGCCGCGGGCCGCCCGGGCAGGCCCAGGCCTCGCCCGCCCTTACCGTTCTGGGAGCGGATGGCCTCCCCAGTGCTGCGGTCCCCAAACACGGACAAAGGCCCCTCCATCTTCGCGGCAGGGTTTGCGTCGAATTTCACTCACACCGCAGGCAACCCGTATCTTAATCCCCAGGCCGGGCGGTGGCCGCTACAGAAGTGGCGGCGGCGTGGAGAGACCCGAGAGGCGCCGCGGGGGCTGCTGGGTAACTCCGCCCCGCCCGCTGCCTCTCTCCCCAGGCTCGGCCGCAAGGCCTGGCGGGAAAAGAAGGGCGGGAACCGGGAGAAACAGGAAAAGCAGCTTCAACTCAACGGAAATCAGAGGACCAAAAAGGGGCAGGTTCAGTAATTTTGCCCAATTAGAGACCGGAAGAGAAAGGACGCTGAGGGAGGAACGGTTGTCAGGAGTTGGAGGACGCTGGAGGTAGGAAGTACTCTTCTGCGGGCAAGGTTACGCATGCGCGGATGCACATTCTCCWATCTTCTAGAAAAGTTGGACAGTGGGGCGGAGTTTGAAATTGTGTTACGAGAACGAGGCGGGCTCTGCTTCACGGTAGAGCTGGGGTTCTAGTGGGCTCTTTAACCTTGTCCTCTTGCCTTTCTTAAATGCTTATTCGGGAAGCTTGCGGCAGATTGGACTTTGTTGTGGGACTAACAGGCATGACCTTGCGAGTYTGCACTTGGTTAGTATGGGGCCAGGTTTTCCAAGGGCCACAGGGGAAAGCCTTCAGTTCCCAAAAGACGGCACCCTTTTTGAGGAAAAAGTGTGAACATTGCTCTGCCTCCTTTCCTCCCAATTACTGTGTCCACGCTACAATGATGGGCTTAAGGGACCAGACAACCCAAATACGGTAACTTCAAGTTGTGTCTCGGGGGCCGAGCTTGGTGTAAAGGGTAGTCTGCAACAAACTGCCTTTCTATCAGGTGATTGGTTGGCGCCTAGCGTGATTGCGCCTCGACGTAGGCACTGATTGGTGGAGCGGGGTAATGTGCGGCAGGGGCCTTGTGGGTTTGAAGCTTCAAGGACATGCGCGCTTCGACTTTTCCCTGAGTTCATATGGCGGGTTAGCCGCTGAGACAACCGGAAGGAAAAAGAGGCGAGGSTTTGCCGGTGATCTCCTCAGCGATGGCACTTCGGCCGCGGCTCTGGAAGTTGGTGTTGGTTCGCAGGAATCCGGGTAATTAATCTCGCCCCGCTTGCCAGCCCACTCCCCGGGGCCTGCCCAGTAGATGCGAATCTGCGTGTCCTCTTCTGTTCGACTTGTCCCGAGAAGAAGCAAACGCGCCCTGGGCGCTCCCTCGGGACCCGGGGACCGGTGAGCGGAGGCGGTGGAGTTAGGCCGGCCCCGGTGTCCACGGCGGTCGTGCTTAAGCTCCATGTGGCCGTGTCCGTTCCCCAGAGCGCGGGTTTGCAGCCCTCTGCACCACGCCGGCGGCGGAGCCCCACGCTGAGCCCCTGGGAAATGAAGCCGTCGCGCCCGAGTTCACCAACAGGAACCCCCGGAACCTGGAGCTCTTGGCTGTGGCCAGGAAGGAGCGGGGCTGGGGGACAGTGTGGCCCTCGCGTGAGTTCTGGCACAGGTAACCAAGTCAGCCTGCGACGGCCCGACGGAGTAGCGCCGGGCCTCACAGATTGCTTTGCTCAGCAGGACGGTGCGGGACGTCGGGGACTCGCCCCGGGGGCGCCTCGCACGTGCCTAGAGGCAGGACAAGCGGAGGGGTCCCAACCCTGGAACCTACGGGTGCCCTGCAGACGACAGTGTGTGGGCTTGGGGAGCTGGGTGCTTACCAGGGTCGCGGAGGAGGTGACGAGGTCTGAAAGATAGAAGAAGGAGCGTTCTAGCAGAGGCAGCTGGGTGCGACTGCTCTTTGTGGGTGGGTGGGAGGATCCGTAGGCCTGTGTATCTGAGTTGTTTGGGCAAAGAGGGGAAGATGAAATTGGGGAAGCACGTAGAAGGAGGTTAAGTCGTTAGCTTTGCAAGTTAAGGTAACCAGTGAGAGTGGAAACTGCAAGATTTAAAATTTGAGCCTGAACCATCTGGTTTTTGAAGTTCATTCTAAGGTCTGGAGTAGAGTGCTTGCCTAGCAAGTGGGAAGTCCTGCAAAAGGAGAATAAAAATAATTCTAGCTGCTTTAGGGAGAATAAACTTTTAAAGAGTGAGAATAAAAGGAGGAAGACACACATGTCTTGTGCAAGGTAGGCAACTGCTCTACAAATGAACTACATCCCCCAGCCCCTTGGTGGGTTATTGAAAATATTTGCCAGGAACGATATAAAAAATGTACTGTTCATTTAATCCTTAAAATTACTTCATGGAGCAGGTACAATAATTTTCTCCATTTTACAGGACCGGGGCAGTTGGGGGGAGACACCATTAGTGACTGCCAGAGCTAAGATTAAAACAAGTAAGAGTTTATCATTGTAGACATCAAATGATTTGATGAAGATGGTGGTTTTATTATTTGCAGTAATGGGGGGATAAAACCCAGGGCCTTCCTTGCAAAYGGTAGGCAACTGCTCTACAAATGAACTACATCCCCCAGCCCCTTGGTGGGTTATTGAAAATATATGCCAGGAACTATATAAAAAATGTATTGTTCATTTAATCCTTAAAATTACTTCATGGAGCAGGTACAATAATTTTCTCCATTTTACAGGAACGGGGCAGTTGGGGGAGACATCATTAGTGACTGCCAGAGCTAAGATTCAAACATATTTTATATGACCTAGAACCAGGACACTCAATTATTACCACTATGCTGCAGGACATAGATATTATTTCCTTGATGAAGATTTGTTAGCGTTTTCCCTGTTGTGTGTGTAGTGTTGGATATTGAACCCAGGGTCTCACACATCAGGCAAGTACATTACCACTGAGCCACATCTCTAGACCCCTGGAGTAGAATTATTTCTAAAGGACTACACACAGTTATCAGGACAAGTTAGTAATCATAATTATGTAAATGCATTTATTTATTCAGCAAATGTTGGGCCTGTATCACTAGGCATTGTGCTAGATGTAGGAAAAATAATGATAGAGCATAAGACTAAAGGGCTCACTAGAACCGCAGTTCTACCATGGAAAAGGGCTTGCCCCTTCTGAAATTCTTGTCACTGAAGTTTTTATAGTTTCATGATGGAAAGCAGAATGAGCATGGTGTTATAATTGCTATGATACATTTTTGCTTAGAGGATACAGGGAGGAGTCAAAGGGAGGAGGCAGTTCACTTTTGAAATAACCTGGATCTTAAGTCTAAAATTCTTTTGAAACATCCAACATTTCCTTCACTTAATATTTGAATCGTTTAAATTAGACTTATTTCCCCCCCACTCACTGGGTCTGCCCTATTTACCAAATTATCACTACAGAATTTTGAAAGTCTAGGAAATGACCTTAGAGATGGAGTCCTACCCCTTCATTGAATACATAGTTGAAGACAAGGGTCTTAAAACTGTGGCCTATGCAATTTTCTATGAAGTATAATTTTTATTAGCACCACCAGCAAAACCAAGAGAACCCACAGTTCCAAATCTAGTGCCTTTCCTGCTTTGCCTTAGGAGTGCTAGTGAAGATCTTCTAATTTGAGTGTTTTCTTTAATTTGAGCTTAATTTAATTTTGATCTGGAGGTACGGATCAGTATTTGTATACTGACTGTGTATGTGTATACACAAAGCCCTGAGTTTAATCCCAGTAGTAAAAAAAAAAAAAAAAAAAGAAAAAAAAGAAAAGAAAGAAAGTGGAACAGCCATCCCTAGGTATGCACAGGGGATTAGATTAAATAYCTTACATAAAATGGCACAGTATTTACATATAATTTATATTCTCCTGTTACTTAAAACCATTTCTAGATTGCTTATAATACCGAAAACAATGTAACTGCTATGCAAATACTTATACTGTATTGTTTAGGAAATAGTGACAAGAAAAGTCTGTGTATGTTCAGTACAGATATAATTTTTTCCCTCAGATATTTTCCACCTGTGGTTGGTTGAATCCAATGATTTGTAACCCCATGTTATAAAACCCCACAGGGACTAGTTTTATATGTATCCTTCTAGAGTTATGCATATAAGCAAAAATGTCTTTTTTTAAAAATTATTCTTGTTAAATCATAAATATTGTTCTAGAATGTTCTTTAGCCCTCCTACTACTCCCTAAGCATATACTTGTAGATCCTTCTTCCTGGTGGATAGGAGGATTGGTTCTGGAGCCAGATCCCTAGACCTAATGCCTGGCTCCACTGCTCCCTAGTTGTAATCTTATGTTATTTTTCTGTGTCAGTTTCTGTAGTTTAAAAAAACACATGGAATGCCAGAAGCAGTGACGCATACCTGTAATCCCACCTGCTCCAGAGGCTGAGGCAGGAGGATCTTGAGTTCAAAACCAGCCTTAGCAAAAAGTGAGGCATTAAACAACCCAGTAAGACCCTGTCTCTAAATAAAATACAAAATAGGGCTGGGGATGTGGCTCAGTAGTCCAGTACCCCTGAGTTTAATCCCCAGTACCCAAGTGAAAGAAAAGCGAATGGAAGTAAGATGGGATTATTTTGAGACATGAGCTATACCTATAAACAATTAGGATAAACCTAACAGTAAGTGCTCAGTCAGTGTTAGCTATTGTAATCATAAAATGTTACCTCTTTTTAGTGACTGTATAAAAAACATGGCATGCATGTTTTAGTTAATTAGCTTCCTATTGATGATTATCTTTTATGATTACAGTGTTGTAATGAATTGTCTCATCCATTCATTTTTTTAGATCAGAGATTGGGTGTATATTTTCCTGGATTTAAATGTCATTAATATTTTCTGTTTCTTTGAACAGTGTTCAGATCTTTTACTTCTTAAGTTATTGGTAAATTTCTTATTTATTATAGGAGATTTTTTACAAATTACAGAAGTTAGTCCTTTAAAAAATAGAGGAGTTTAAAATATTTTTCTGTAGCACAAACGCCTGAAATTCTAGTTATTCAGGAGGCTGAGGTAGGACGATTACAAATTTGATACCAGCCTCAGCAATTTAGTGAGACCCTATCTCAAAATAAAAATAAAGGTCTGGGGATGTAGCTCAGTGGTAAAGTGCCCCAAGTCCATGTACCAAAATACATAAATGATAAATGTTTTTATTCTTTTTCGTTGCTTTGTCCCCCATTCGWCCCTTTCCCCTGCCTATGCTAAGGATTACCCCCAGGCCTCATAGATGCTAAGCAGGCACTCTACCTTGGACTACACCCACAAATGCATTGTTTGTATTTGAACTTAATTTTTGTTTGTTTGGTTTTTAACCATGTAGAAAATCTGTCATCTTTTATTTGACATCTAATTATTCTATAAAAGCCATGGTTGATTTCACATTTAAACAGGCTTATCTTATTTTGACATTATAAAAAAAAATTCCCTTATTTTCTTTTAGTACTCTTCTGATTTCGGTTTTTACTTTTAAATCTTTGCCCCATTTTTCATTTATTTTGGGGTTAGCTGGAAAATAAAAGCACAGAGTAAGTATATCCTTATCCAGGATATAGTCAGCAACTTAGTTGCATCTCTTCAAGATTCCTTTTTTGAAGTATATGTATAAAAAGTAAGACTCGGCTCTTCAGAAATACCAAGTTTCTCCTTGATACTTGAGGTTAAGTGCAAATATTTGATTTACTGTTATTGAGATAGTCTCATTAAAGACAGGGAAAACACCTGTCTCAAGTAAAAAGCCAAGTAAGTATGTTGAAGTAAATCAACCATCCATTGAATTCTCAAGGGATACTTAGGCATTCATTCACTTGAAGTAACTTAACTTTAGGATGGATAGATGGATAGTTTTTTGACTTTTATCCTCTTCTCTTCCCATTTAGACTGCGAGTTATAAAGACTCAGCATCATGTAGAAGCGATTGTAGAGCATCGAAACGGCAAGGTCGTGGTTTCAGCATCCACTCGTGAATGGGCTATTAAAAAGCATCTTTACAGAACCAGAAACGTGGTTGCTTGTGAGAGCATAGGACGAGTACTGGCAGAGCGGTGCTTAGAGGCAGGAATCAACTTCATGGTCTACCAGCCAACCCCTTGGGAGGCAGCTTCAGACTCGGTATTTTTTTTTTTTTCAATATTTTTTAGTTGTTGATGGACCTTTATTTTTATTTATTTGTTTGTTCATTTATATGCACTGCTGAAAATTGAACCCAGTGCCTCACACGTGCTTTGCAACTTCTCTATCACTGAGCTAGAACCATAGCCCCCAGACTTGGTATTTTTGTTTCCATTTGTGTTTACTAAAAAAGTATTTTAGGGCTTGGGATGTAGCTCAGAGGTAGAGGGCTTCCCTAGCATGTGTGAGGCCCTGAGTTTGATTGCTGGCACTGAAAAAMAATTCTAAGAGGCATTGTATTGATTCTTGATGTTAGGTACTTATATAATAATAGTTTCCAAGTGTTCTCCATTTGGACCCTGGGGTGAGTATTCTGACATTACCTTATTTAATCCTTACAGCAGTCTAGAGTTAGGGACCAATTATTCCTGTTCTATACACAAATGAACTGAGGTCAGAGTCATTGTTTGGTTGATTTCAGAGTGACTGATTCTCTAGCCCATCATGTCATCATGTTTATGTATTGACATCTTGTGATGTATTTCAGAATGCTGCTGATCCCTGACATTTCTCAATTCCTTTTTTTCTTACCTGTGTCATTCTTAAGATCCTTCTCTGAACAACTAGTGTAGGCTGGGAAGTTAGCAAGAGCACATCAGTTGTTATTTCTTTGTCTCTTGGAAAGCAAAGTTTATTTTCAGCTTACTGATGAGCTTTATTTTTTCCTTTTTTTTTYCCTGATTTTTAAAACAAGATGAAACGCTTACAAAGTGCCATGACAGAAGGTGGTGTAGTGCTACAGGAACCTCGGAGGATCTATGAGTGAAATAGAAGCATAGAAGTTTTGAACACATAAATATCAAACTATCAGCTTCTACAGCKGTCTAAGAAAGCATCTGGAAGAAAAACAAGCTTGGAAGTTTTGTAACAACGGAGTTCAGTGGAAGATTATTTGTAGTTATGGTCATCCCCCTCCCCTTTTGTGTGTGGTGGTTTTTTTGTTTTAATCAAATGCTAAATACTCTCTCCTCTGGGAGGTGAGAAGTACAAAGCAGACACCAGTTAACTTTTGAAGGACAAATTAAAAATTGCTTGTAAGTTATCAAATAAAGGCATATAAGAACTATTGTTTTCTGGTTATATGAAGTTTCTTGCCTGTGAGCTCACTATTTTAAGGGTAACATCTGATGTTTGTGTAAAGCACTTATTACTACATTGGCTCATGATGAGTGATCCCAGTGAGAGTTACTTGCTGCTCAGATTGTGGGGCTGTTTTTTTTTAAAGTGGGAGATGTCACTATCAGTCTAAACTTAGAATCTTAGGATAAGAGGGCAAATGCTAATAAACTTCCTGGGGCCCTTGATTCCCAGTGTTTGGAGAGGCGAATTTGAGAGTTAAAGGTGCCCTGAGGAACTGCAAATGGAAGTGGAAAGGAGGGGTAGTGTGTGCTCAGATTGCTGTGAAGTGAATAATACAGGAAGCAAAGTGTTAACTGTTTCCAGCTACCTGGGGAAAATTAATTGCTTAAGTAATTAAGGTGGCTTTGAAAGCATAATTTTCCCAATTTTTAGGTGTGTTCACCAATTACACATTTATTTAAAAATGAAATGCCATCAATCTGAATATGCAATGTAATTTTTGAAAGACAAGTCTTAGCGCCAACTCTCTTAACAGTGTGACTTATGTGGAGACTTTCAGCATCCAATGGTTTACTAGTCCCTTTTGATAAATAAATATCCCTGTGAGGACGTTCAAAGTTACAGATTATTATTATTCCCTCAAAGATTTGAAGATCACTGTTCTAGAAAGGTGTTCACATAGAAATCTACAATTAAAGGGAAGACGTGTAAGAAAGATTGTGTACTAGTGAGTGAAAATTAGCTAACAAAAACGGGGCCTCCCCTGGGTGTAGGCGTGGAGGTGGGAATTGCCACAGGGAGTAGGCGAGTGCCAGACAATTTGGGCGCCAAGGACACCTTCAGTCTAAGAGGCAGCTCTTCTTTGCAAACGACCTTCACCTTGGGAGCAAGTTAGGCTCTAGGCGGGTGGGCAGGTGCAGGCTATGCGCTGCCTCGCGGGGTGGGCGGGTTTCCACGTGCACGAGCCCTTTAAGGCCCCCGCGCAGCGGAAGCGCGTGGGTACTACGTGGCCTCACTGGCGCCCTCGGCCCAGCGGCCATGGACTTGGGCGCAGAGGAGTTTGAGCAGAACCTCCCCTTCCTGCAGGAGCTCGTCCAGGAGGCGGACTTTGTGGGTAAGGTATCGGGGACTGCGGGCCCCGTCACCAGAGTGCCTTGGACCAGCTGGAGGACGGGGTAGCACAGGTGGGATACGGTTGTGGCCAGGCCGCAGGGGGCTCAAAGGGGCCCCTGCCCCTCGGAGGGACAGGCGGACTTCTTACGCCCGCAGGCAGGGGGGCCATAGGCATCGCTCACATGAGTGTTGAGTAGCCCTGATGTCTTGGGCCAGACTCCCTGAGGTCCAGGTACAATCCCCATGGTTTGGCTGGTCCTTGCCTCGGTTCCCTCCATTTTCCCCTTTTGCCCCCACCTGGCCTCTTGAACACAAAATGAGCGACATGCTTAGGCCACCTGTGGCATCCACACTGTGGAGTGGTGTCTGCCCTGTGCTTGGGGACTCCTCTATCTTTTGCCTCCCCCTTAGGTCTGGACATAGAGTTCACTGGCCTTCGTTCTAGCCTTCCCGGACCACAGCAGATCAGGTAAAGCTAAAGCTGTCTTAAAGCCCAAGAGCTGGCTGGCCTGTGTCCCCCAGCCAGACCAACATGATTCTCAGCAGGGCAGGGTTGGCTTCCCTGGGTGGGGCAGGTCAGTTTGTGTGGGCTGCTCCCACCTGTGGGACCTAGTATTAGTCCCCTAATGCTGGTAGTATTCCCTAGTTTCTGTAATAAGGAAAAGATGTGACCCCTGATTGAGTGGCCAAGTGAGCCTGCTCTGGAGCCCTAGTATCTTGACCAGATCTTGTTGATGCCTGTTTTTTTCAGTCTTTTTGATTTGCCATCCGAGTGGTACCTAAAGACCCGCCAGAGTGTTCAGCAGTTTACCATCTGTCAGATTGGTGAGTCTGAGGGTCATCTCTTCCTTATGAATCTGTTAAGAAGATATTGTCTTTGTTTCCTATTGGTGAAAATGGCTTTGTCACTTTTTCAAACACATTGGCTATCATTTTTGTATTCTTCTGTTTTTGGCTTTAGATCCAACACTTTGGAGTAAGCAGAAAATTTAACCAACATTAAGTAACAATTACTGTTGTTCCTTGTTCCGTCTTTCAACTAAAAATGGGTGTATGATTTTGGACGTATGATTATATTACAAATATTTTGTTTTTCCTTTTGTTTTTACTTCATGGAGTTTGGGGTTTGGAGATCTATATATCACCACATACAAACATGTTCATTTTTTAACAGCACATAGTATTACAAACTATCAATGTATCTGTTAATCTGCTAATACGCATGTTTCAATTACATTTGTGTACAATTAAACAGACTTGCACTGACTGCCTTGGTATTTATATATATGATCCTGTACTTTTGTACTTTTGTGAGTATATGCATCTGAGATACTTCTAGCAGTGGAATTGCAAAGTTACAGTATGTGTTGGAATATTGAAGTAATGATATGTAGTTTAGCATTGTGTTGTAAACGCAGGGCTCTACCACTGAGCTATGCCCCCAGCCCTCACTAAGTTTTTGTTGTTTACACTAATAGAGAATGTGTCTGTTTCTCCAACACTGGATATTATCAGTCTGCAACTTTAGTCCACCTGGTAAACRAAAAATGATTGTTAGTCTGTTTACATTTTATGATAGAAATGTTGACAACCTTTTCTATAAAGGGCTCCATAGAGAATATTTTAGATCTTGCAGACAATGTGATTTCTGTTATAGCTACTCAATCTTACCCTTGTAATGTGAAATCAGCTGCACATAACGTATAAACCCATGAGCATGGCCCTATTCCTGTAAAAAGCTTTTTCATAAAAGCAGACTTTGGGCCAGAGTYTACTGACTAACTTTCACTATGGATGATGCTGGACATCTGTTTTCCTCCCTACCCTTGTCCTTTGCTGTTTCTCTTAACTGTGTGATCTCTGAAAAGTGTGGACAACAGCTCTTGGTGCTSTTGGTTATGTTCTGTTGTTCACCCCCCAACACACACACCATTTTGAATTTTTCTTTTATCTTTTGGTAATAGTCATTTAAAAGCTGTTAAATTTATAAGACTTACTYTATGGGTTTTGGTGTTTCCTCTGGTTAGTTTTAAAACTATGAAAATTGATTTTTTTTTTAAATACTTGTTTGAAGAACAGGCCACAGTTGTCTTTTTTGTGGGGGGATAGGAGGATATTGGGGACTTAATCCAGGGGCATTTAACCACTCAGCTACTGCCCCAACCCTTTTTATTTTTTATTGTGAGATATGAGACAGGGCCTCACTAAGTTGCTGAGTCTGGTTTTGAACTTGGGATCTTCCTGCCTCAGCCTCTTGAGCTGCTGGGATTACAGGTGTGTCATTGCACCCAGCTTCAACTCTTGTCTCATTCTATAAGGATCTTATCCTGTCCCGCCACCCACATAGTATCTGTGGATGCAAAGTCCTGTTGGAAATGTTTGGGCTCTGTGTTCACCTCAGGGAGCTTATTCTCAGTATTCATTACTTCCGCTATTGTTCTTCTAGGATTGTCTGTATTTTCCACTATCGAAGGGGAGTTCAACAAGTACGTATAAAGAGCTTTTGCAAAGCAGGGCTTTTGCCCATCTGTGTTCTACAGCTATCTCCACTTCATATTCTGCCTTGGTGTCTGAGTCATTTTGTCCTGGACACTCTGTTCTCTCCTACTTCTGGCTCTTCCACTGGCTCTGTCCTGCAGATTCCAGCTTACCTTCAGGTCTCTCCTGAAAGGTACCATTTCTGCAAGGCCTTTTCCACCACCCCTGCCTGGTACCTTATACGCTCCTGTCCTCTTTTCCATTGTCTCTTGTGCACCTTCACGAGAGCAGTTAATAGTGTGTATTGTGATGAGGGTGCTGTCTGAACTGCCTGCTAGCTCACAGGTACCAGCTGGTTCCAGGAGTGTGGAAGGGTGCTCCCTTGATGGGGTGGCTCCTGCCCAGAGCAGCTGTGGGACTGACTCTAAGCAGCAGCCCTGGTGGTTTTATTGAGAGCCTGTTTCTGTAGCAGACCATTTTCTGAGGGCAGGATCACTGCCTTTGTTCTTTGGCTCTCAGTGCCAGGCAAAGTATCTGAAGCACAGTTTTTCCTAAATGGATGAAAGAAAGAATCTGCTCTGAAGCTGCTTAATGAGTCAGTGTGTGTGTGTGTGTGTGTGTGTGTGTGTGTGTGTGTGTATGTGTGTTTTAAGTGCCTTTGGCTTTTTCTTATGTTTTTATAGGTATGTAGCCCATTCATATAACTTCTTTCTCTTCCCTACAACATTTGGGATTTTGGATTCAGAATTCTCTTTCCAGGCTTCTAGTGTTCAGTTTTTGAATCAATACGGCTTCAACTATAACAAGGTATGGCATTGGAGGAGGGGAGGGGGCAGGTTGAAAGTCCAGTCTAATGGGCCCACAGGACCCTTTTTCTCTTCCCGTTTTTCCCATGAGATACTAAGTAGGCCTGGCCCTGCTTATCTCCTGAGATGGGGTGCATTTGGGGTGGTGTGGTCATACACTCCTCTTCCTCCCCTTCCCCTTCCTTTGTGGCTTGGAGGATGACTCTCACTAGTTTCTGTTTTCTGTGTTTAGTTTCTTAAAAATGGAATCCCATATATGAATGAAGAACAGGAGAAAAAAATTAAGCACAACATCCTGACAGGGAACTGGAGAGTTCGCAGGTAGGGTGTGTTTCTTTAAGTGCCTCTTGGTTTCTTTGCTGCTGTGTCCTGTGGGGTCTGTGCTGGTTCCAGGAGTGTGGTGACCTTGAACCATCCATATGTCGTGGTAACTGCATCAGCCTCCTTTGCTCAGCCAGACGGTGTGGCTGCTGGTGCTGGGGATCCTCCACCTGAGGTGAGGAAAGGCAATCCTGTTTCCACCCCCCTTTCAGCTTCTGTATAAACCCCCTCACTGCTTCAAGCGTGATTTTTAGCATTTAAAAATGAAAAAAACAGAAGCTGACTCAGTTTGCTAACTCACCAAGATTTCCATTCCAGTGCCAGAGGGGCAACTCCGCTCTGTTGGACTTGCTGTGAGATGGTCTGTTAGTGTCCAGTGTGTTCTGAGGGCTTTTCAAGGCTAACTCACACATAGCCCTGACTGTGCCAGTCATTCCAGGCACTGACTCTGGACTTGGGCCTCCTTGGCTTGGCTATGTCCCCCAGCATGCCTGACCCTGCTATGTGCGAGACTTGTATGACATTCCCACTCCTCAGCCCCATCGAGGGCAAGATTGCTACCTCTTTGGCTCCTGTGCCTGYCCCACACATTGCAGCCTCATACTGTCTGCACTATGGTCAGGAGTGACCAGAGCGAAGACAGTAGCACAGGGTGGCAATGGAACTGGCCACCCAGTTCTTGTCTGTCAGAACTGTTGACCAGTTGTTGAACTAGTCATTTAAGCCTTTTGGGCTTTAGATTCTTCACCTTTAGCAGGAAGGGCCGTCAACTCGACAGCTTATAACTTTGAAATATGATGACTGCATGGTCCAGGTAATGATCTTGTGTAATGCTGGAGAGCTTCTTTGTTGTTTTGTTATTGTACTTGTTCCTGATTTTAATATAAAAATTTAGGATTTCATAAGGTTCAAAAAATTTTTTTTTCTTAAATCTGACATTTTCAAATGTTGGAGAAAGAGCTTTCCTCACCTCAAAGAACACTATGTCCTTACATTTCTAACAAGGAGCCGAGGGTTTGCCAAAGTCCTCCTTTGCCTTACGCTCCCAGTGGGTGTTCCTGCCTCTGGAAGCCTTACAAAGAAGACAGTCCTGACAGTGGCCTTTAGAGCTGGTTAGAGCCACTTCCTTTCCTAGTGTGACAGGTGGGGATCACATGAGCTCTAGGAACCTGTGAAGAACGAAGGCCAGGAAGTTGCTGCCTTCTGCATGAAAAGATGGAAGACAGTGATCTTGTTTTGGTCTTTTGTTGTTGTTTGGTACTGGGGATCAAACTCGGGGGCACTTAACCACTGAGCCACATCCCATCCCTTTTTTTTTTTTTTTTACTATTTATTTAGTTGTAGTTGGACACAATACTTTTACTTTATTTTTTATGTGGTGTTGAATCAACACATGCTAGGCGAGCATTCTACCTCTGAGCCACAACCCCAGCACCCCCTCCCCCAGCCCTTTTTTATATTTTATTTAGGGACGGGGCCTTGCTAGGTTGCTTAGGGTCTTGCCAAGTCGCTGAGGCTGGCTTTGAACTCATGTTCCTCCTGCTCTAGCCTCCCAAGCTGCTGGGTTTGTAGGCTCAATCAACTGCATCCAGCTCATCTGTTTTCTTCGTGAGCTCACGAAGTGAAAACCAGGAGCTCCTGAAACCTCTTGTTAATGTCGTCTTGTGATTCTGGCATGGTTTTCTCCAACATTTGCATTTTCATGTGCCCATTTTCAGCTCTCTGGATAAAGACCAAATCAAGGTGGTGATTGATGAGGTGACGCGATGGCTGGACCTAGCTGAGGAAGGTGACCGGATGACTCTGCCTGGTATTGCTGGTAGGCAAGAGGCTGCTCCTTCCGTACTGGGAGTGTTGGGTCATGGTTACCTGACAGGAGTTGGGGGACCCATTCTCTTTCCCACAGATCCTGGTCCCAAATGCCTCTCAACTGAGTCTAATACATTTGCTTAGTTGGTGCCCAGTCCTTGGGGTCAGATAAAGCTTCAAAATTCAGAAATCAGAAAGTCGGAAAGCTTTTCAACAAACATTGAATTTCAAGGCCAAGGAAGTCAAGTTCATTTCAGAGCCATCTTGTTCATCCTGTCCTGAGTGCTCTATATCAAAGTATATCACTTGACTATGACTTGCTGTTTTTGTACCGTTTTTTCCCCTGGTGCCATARCAGTGGGGGTTACACCTGCCAGCACCTCAGCACAGATTAAGGCAGGAGTCCCACATCATGCTTTCTTCACAGCCACTTGCTCTCAGTGCAAACAGCCGATTTGGCTTAAGAAGCTGCTTGGTGAGGAAGTGGTATGAGTGCTAACTAAGTCTCAGCCTTTGATGGGTCATCTGTAAGTATCCTATGTGAGCATAGCATGAAGAAAAGCACTCTGCGGCTGTGCTGGTGCATACCCCCACCCAGTGGTGGGGCGAAGGAAGAGCATTTGAAGAGCATTTGAGTGTGGGTTTTTTTTTTTTTTTTTTTTTTTTTTTTTTTTTTTTTTTTTTTTAAGAGCTGGATCTGCCCCCCCTGCCTGCCCCCGCCCCCAAGTGAATATCATTTTCTTTCTAGAAAGATCTGACTGTTTGAACTTGGGATTTTGCATTTATTTTCCAAATGGAAAAAGTAAGCCTGACCCTTTAGGGAAAATAATGCATAGTAATAACAGTAGTTATGAAAGACATAACCAAGTTTTGAACTAGCATCTGCTACCATAAGCTYGACAGCTTCCCAACACGGAGACCTTTCTGATGAGAATAGTGGTCAGATAGTCAGTTATACAGGTATCTTTTGTGGTTATTGTAAAGTAATAGTGCTAGAAAGTCCATTAACAGTGGTTTCAGATTCTTTGTGACAGCTGAGGTTTTAAGAAGTTACCACATGCCAAAATCATTCTTTGTGTTATAGAACACCCAGAGTCATCTGACAAGGCTGGTAACACTTCTTCATTGTGTCAGAGACTGGGATTTTGTCACATTTCAGTGCAAAAGCAGATACGATTGCAGCCAAATATTAAAGTTTGCAAAAATGTAAAATAATATATCATGATGTTTTTTTGTCTTGGAAAGTAGTTCTTTTTATGAATTTTACTTTTGTTATTGTATATGGAGCTTTTTGTTTTAAAAGAAGATTCCATGTTTTTTTCATTTGAAGGTTTTAATTTCTAAAATAGTTAACATCAGTGGCTGTATCCAACAAAAACAAACTTTGTTGTCTCCAACTTAAAATCATCTTTGAGGTCAAAAACTGAAAATGCGGGGCTGGGGATGTGGCTCAAGCGGTAGTGCGCTCGCCTGGCATGCGTGCGGCCCGGGTTCGATCCTCAGCACCACATACCAACAAAGATGTTGTGTCCGCCGAGAACT